ATATATATATATATATATATATATATATATATATATATATATATAATTTGACACAAAGAACAGAAAGAAGATAAAAAAAGTAAGACATTTAAATTCCTCTAACCATCATTATGATATTTGATTGCATCGAAACCTTGTCCATTAAAAACATGTATTTTCAATATTATTATTAATCCCTATTTATAAAAAAAATTATTACTTATTTTTATTTTTCAGATTATATTTTTTTCTTCAATATATAAATATTTATTTTAATTAGGAATTAGCTATGATAAAAAAGATTTCAAATTGCTTCAATATTTGTTTTCTGTTGACACTGCATATTTAATAAATATAAGGGGATTATATATAAAAATATAATATGGTGAGGAATTTATCGGTAATTATACCCAAGCGAAGGGGCCAATATATAAATGATGCTTCCTAGTTGTATCCCCAATTCATCCCTAAAGCCGTCTCGCCCTTCTTTCTCGTCTTCCGCCGATTAGATTTGGGATCGTGAGGAGATGGCGACGGGGTCGGGACTTTTCACGTTCCTGCGGCCGCGCCTCCGCCCCCAGTCGACGGACATCGCCGCTGCCGCCACCTGGGGCGTCGCCGCCGCCACCGGTGCCCTCTGGCTCATCCAGGTACAACGCGGATCCCTTAATCAATCCCTATTCACACCTGTCGATTCCAAATCGTAGATCGAAGTCACATTTGCTCCTCTGATTATTTTTTTTCGGATTTCGTTCCGTTTGTATCAATTAAAATCAGATCCTGTATCAAGCCTTGGTGCCTTGGGATCGTGTCTAATGGCGATTCTGTCGTCTTTGATATCTTGGTATTTGACGATTTGGTCATTCGCTGATGGCTTGTTGTTTCTAATTTGGCATTCGTTGTAGACTGCGAAGAAGTATTACATTGCGATTTGTTGTTTTACTAAAATTCTTGTTGTCTTAAATTTCCTCAATTAATGTTTATAATAATTTTGGTTAAGGATGATGAATCTGTGGATATTTTAGGTTCAGTATAACCGTAGCCTGGTGAGGCTTTTGCTTCAAGGGATAAAATGCTAAACTTGCATCTACAATGTATAGTTGGAAAAGCATACATGTGTTTTTCTGACATCTGATTTACCTTCCTGACAAACATTTGTCTGTGTATGCTTGCCCAGCTTTACATGTGCATTGAAGAAATGGATTCGGTCACTTGAAATTAGAACATGAACTTATTTGATCCCTAAACATTATTCTGCTGCTTGTTTTATAGGTCGTTAGTTTCTTCAGTTTGTACTTTGTACATTAGGTCGGTTGGATGCTTCCTTTCAAACCCTCAATCAATCTATGACTATTGTTCCGTGAATCATCCTAAGATCATGAAATTAGTTTCCTATAGTAGGACTCAAATAGAAAAGGATTGTTGGAGGTTTCTGCATTATACTTCTAAGGGAATCATGGATAGAGAATGCCAACATATCTATATTGTGGTCTTCCTGGATTCAGTTGCTGGTGAAACATGGTCAAATGGAACAAAGTACTAATTGGAAAGATCACCTCAAAACAGTTGCTGCGATATGGTTAACTGCAGCAATGATAGTAATTGGTGTAGTCAAGAACATGATTCAAACCTAATCTAACCTGTTAAGGGAACCCATTGAGCCACCCAAGCATAGTGTATCTCAATCGTAAGGTTTTACCTAACTGGCATCTGCAGATAGTTTTGTAAGCTATTTGAACCCACCCACATCGTCAGGGATTGAAATTACAGTCAGGGCTTATCTATTTTGGTCAAAATTAATCAAATTTGGCAGTTCATTGAGTTTTGGGATTTGGTTTTGAATAGTATCATATGGTATTATCCACTTTCAAAAATTTTGATCCATTGTCAGAATCGGTTTCAATAATTCAATCTGATTGACTAATTGCAGTTTAAACTAATGATTACACAGTTAGAAGTTAGTTTACTAGACATCAAGGAACTAAGAGTTATTTTTAACACTTATTTAGTATTTGTGGGACCAAAACAAATGCTTTCATTTCCATCTACTTCTTGGATTTCCTTAAGTGAATCATATTCTTTGATCTTTTAGTTTTACTGGAGACATTAGTGCTGAGCCTTTTTCGTAAGATTGAAATTTTGTCAGATTTTTTCTTGACTTCGTTCTTGTATCCTTGTTAAATAGGGTTACATAAGTGTGTGACCATCAGTTACGTGTATCCATTTCCATATTTTCTTAATTTTTAAACACACTTAAGGTGTAAACTATCTGATAATCTGAAGATGAAGAGGTCGTTTAAATTTTTGTCAGAGTATGTGCTATATTCTCTCTATTTTTGGGTGTTGGTGGTGAGCATTAGGGCAACAACTTAGAAACTATACTAAATAACTTATCAGCGTAGTACACACTAGGGATCCAAAAGTGACTGGGAAAAGGTAATCCAATATGTGATGCTTGCCCCAACATCTAGAGTATAGAAAGGGTCAACATGTGGCATTCCCCTATGATTTGTAACTCTTTATTTTGGTAATCTTTATAAATTTCTCACTTAACGTGTGTTGCAATCGAGCCTCTAGTATTTAAAGTGGGACCCTTGGAGGGATACTACACAAGAACAAATTCGTTAGCATGCTAGACCCAAGGACATTCATCGTTTTTGCTTTGTGAGATATTGGACATGTGTTTTTTGTGTTCTTGCTTCACTTATATTTTTCTAAAAGGATTTTTTTCACATATTTTTTATTATTGTTGATGAAAATTATTATTTGATAATGATTATAAAATATTTTTGCAGCCTTTTGATTGGTTGAAGAAGCAGTTTTTGGAAAAGCCTGAGCCAGAGAAGTGAATTTTGTCTTGCTGTGTGGAACAGAAGCTTGCGAGTAACTTGCAGCTCTAATATGGAGCAAATCAAAGTTTGATCTAAAATAAAGATGCATCTCTTTCATTTCTTCCATGATTGTTAGGATGTAGAACCTGTGTTGCAATTGGATCCTATAATGGGAAACTGTGGGCAGTGCTATCTATTTTGACAGATGACTCGTTTATGAGTTCTCTGCGCCTGGGTCACAGGTGGTAGTCAGGTGTTTGGTCCAAATAACATCTGATTGACATGAGAACATGAACAATTTTATCTTTTGTTTGAAAAATGATTATCATTTTGCATTTGTCCAAAGTTGCAGTAAGTGATTCAACATTTGTCTCAGGTTTACTTGATGAAATTATTTGCAGGATATAATCCGGACTCGATTGGCAATGTATTTCTTCTATTGTCTTTACGCAACTTGAAGCATAACATCCGCGAATGGCTAATGTTTCAGTTTGGTACCGTGTGATGCAGGATTTTAACATCACCCTGTGGATACCATACTGTTACTAGTGATGCATGATTGCATAGTGAAAATATCATTTATCGTGATCAAATGCATCGACCATTGATTCCTTTGTTTCCATTTCTTGTTTGAGGAAAGAAATAATGCAGTGTTAACACTTGAGATTTTAAGCTTACTAATGCGGACAAAAAGGCGAGTTGCACCCTCAAGATAAAATGAAAATTATACCAGAGAGAGTCGTTAATCACTTTGCCTTAATAAGATAGTGCCAAAAAATAAAAAACTGCAAATATTTAGGTGTTAAAACATTGTGTTATTATAAATTTTGATTAAAAAACATATTATTCAGTCATTAAGATACAATCGATAATAGTCCTATTGTAGAGACAGTATGTCAAAAAGATTAACCAGAATATTGTTTTATTTTTCTTAATAATTTTTTTTACATTAAATAACGCATGATCTTGTAACCAATTTAGATATTTTAATAGAGCCTTGTCTTATCTTTTAAATAAAGATATTATTTTCTTAATTAAATATGAAGTGAAGCTATGTCGCTTTTCAAATATTTACATTTACGATGACATATTTGCCATTTTCATATGTATGTAAAATGATCCTATGGAGCTACAAGCTACTCCTCCATGGATGGGATCAAACAAACAAACAAACAAAAACCATTACAGCTACACAACTTGTATTTTACTAAGGCCTGGCCGGCTGAAATCTTGAATGAAAAATGTCATTGACCCGTCGGAAGTTGCATGCAATTTCACGTAAAAATTTTCTTTAAAATTTACATCTGAATCGATTAGTCAATTTGGGTCGCACCAATTAATAAATTATCTCCTAAATTTATATATTATGATCTGCTTTTCGTGTAGCCTTTTCATTCATTTGCAATATCAACATCAGAAATACTTCGGGATTGATGACAAGATTGTATCTTTCTACAACATTTTCATTGATTCATGAACTGAGTCATCCAATCATTTCCACTCTAAGATACTTCCAAGCTTCTCCAATAATAATAATAATAATAAGCTTCTCTAACGTATACATATATATGACATGATCTTCTACACACATTAGAATACTAGACGGCAACGCGGTCTCCGTAACTTTCGCTTCACATATATTCATGTAGAACTTGGAAGAATCAGCAAGTTTCCTTGTCGTCTTCCCCGCCTCCTCCTACTTCTTATTACGCCCCCACGGCTTCTTCCACGCATAGCTCCTCTCTCTATGGGAGACAAGACGACCATCGCGAGGGCGAGGCAAGAGCTGGAGAATCTTTACCTCGGAGTACCGGACGACTCCGTCGACCTCAGTTTCAAGGACCTCACCAGCTTCCAAGCCACCATGTCGCCGATCCACGAGGAACCGAAGGCGGCGGTGACCAAGTCGCCGAGTCTCGACTTCGCCAAGGGCCTGCGGGGAACGAAGAGCGGCAGCGACAGCGCGGCGGAGCATGAGCTGCGCCGGGAACGCCTCGCGCGTGGCAGCTTCATGACGAGGAACGGCATTAGCTCTGCTGCTGTGATGGCTGGGACCGGTCAAGCTGACGCTGTTAGTGTAGTGAGCATGGCGAGTGCAGTGAGAGGAGAGACAGGGAGAAGAAGGCGTCCCGGCATTCCTCACTCAAATATATGTGCTCTGTGCAGCGTCTACATCTACGTGTTCCGGCATCGGTGCTTGGTGAGGATTAATGGCGTCCTTCTGCGTGCACTTCTTCCATTTATTCCTCCATATTATATATATATATATATATATATATATATATATATATATATATATATA